GCGCGGCAGGGGAGTGCGCCGAGCCCGGCCGCAGGCCCGCAATCCCCAACCGGCCCGAGCGCCAGGGGGGAGGGCGGCGAGCCCGGCCGGGGCCCCGCTCTTGGGCCGGAGCGCCCCGCCCCACCGCCCCAAGCACATGCCTAGTGGGGTGGTGCCGGCGGTGGCGACGACGCCGGCCTCCCGGACTACAGCGAAAGGACCCCCCCTGCCCCCCCCAGCAGCCTGGACAGAGGGAGGGAGAGGAGAACCCAGGCGTCTGGGAGCAAGAGCAGGATAGGAACCCCAGGAGTAGGCAGAGAGAACCCCGTTGTCAGGGCCGGCACCAGCCCACTAGGCATGTGCTTGGGGCGGTGGGGCGGGGCGCTCCGGCCCAAGAGCGGGGCCCCGGCCGGGCTCGCCGCCCTCCCCCCTGGCGCTCGGGCCGGTTGGGGATTGCGGGCCTGCGGCCGGGCTCGGCGCACTCCCCTGCCGCGCTGGGGGGGGTGGGGGTGGCGGGTGGCTTTTTTGCCTAGGGTGGCAAAAAAAGCCAGAGCCGGCCCTGCCCGTTGTCTGGGGTCGGGGGAGGAATCCGCAGCCCTCACGCTGTCTATCAAACCCTTCCAGGTGCTGGGATGGGGGAGGAAGAGGAGGAGAGGAGGCAGGTGCCGACTGAGGGGGGGGACCCCCTGGCCACCCCCGGGCTGCCTGTGGGCCCCGTCACCCTGAACGTCGGTGGCAAATTTTACAGCACCACGCTGGAGACCTTGACCCGCTTCCCCGACTCCATGTTGGGGGCCATGTTCCGGGGCCCCCGGCCAGCCCACACCGACCGGCGAGGCCACTACTTCATCGACCGCGATGGCAAAGCCTTCCGGCATGTCCTCAACTTCCTGCGGCTGGGCCGCCTGGACCTGCCCGAGGGCTACTCGGAGCTGGCCCTGCTGCGGGCCGAGGCGGACTTCTACCAGATCCGGCCCCTGCTGGCCGAGCTGGGCCGGCTGGTGGCCGAGCGCCGGCGGCACCGGGCCAACGCTGTGCTCCACGCCGACGTCGACTGCCAGGAGCGGCTGCTGCACTTCACCGTCCGGCGCGGGCCACAGAATTATGGCCTCAGCACCTGCCCGCTCCGCATCTTCACCGCCAATGTCTTCTGCACCGACGGGCAATTCTTGGAGCTGCTGGGTGGCCGGCTGGGCCGAGCCGGAGACGCCGGGGGAACTGGTCGCTGGCTGAGCACTCTTGCCGATGCCGAATCCAACCACCGGCTGGGCATGGCCGGGGATGGGGAGTCTGTTGCTGCCCAAGAGGAAGGATCCGGTTACCCATCCGTCTCCGCGGAGGAGGGGGAAGCCCGGAGCCGACACCACCTGCGTCTGGAGTGGGCCCCGCGGCCCCTGGAGCTGCCCGAGGCGGAGTACGCCAAGCAGAAAGTGCGCCCTCTCCGGATGGCGCCGCCGGATGGGCGGGAGGTCCTCACAGCGGCGGAGTTCCTGGAGGAGGTGCTGAAGGTGGCCCTGGATCAAGGCTTCCGGGTGGATTCGGTCTTCCCCGACCCGGAGGACATCCTCAACTCGCGTTCGCTGCGCTTTGTCCGCCACTGACCACGTGGAGGGGGCAGAAGAACCAGCTGGGGTACGAGGGGGGAGGGGCTGCTCTCACCTGACCACAGTGGTGGACAGTGGTAAGTGACCGGGATTGGAGATGTCAAGAGATGGTGGTTGGTGGCAGGAAGGGGATAGAGGTAGATGGGAATGGTGGTTGGGGGGCCATTGGTCCCCTTGCTCTGTAATGTGGCATGCTGGCAAGGGGGTGTGTGGATTGGTGCATGGGTGGTGGGGGGGGGGGGGGAGGGGATGGGGAAGGTTGCTAAGTATGGATGGATCCTGAAATGACGATGACTGGTGGCAGGAAGGGGGTGGTGGGGCTCTGGATGAAACCATCTGTCATGGTGGTAGATGGGACGGGGAGTGGGGAGGCTGGCTGGGGACGGTTGCTGTCCCTGGACGAAGTGGCAGGTGGGGTGAGGGTGGATTGGTGGTAGGAAGGGGGGGTGGGAGTAGATGCGGGGGAGAGGGGGGGATGGCTCCGGAGATAGGTGGTGGGGGCGGGGAGAAAAGGAGTAGGTGAGAGCTGGGGGTGGACTTCCTGGTGGGTGTTGGGGTATGAAATAGGATCCTGACTGGTGACGCTGGTGGCAGAGAGAAGATAGTGGGGTTGGTGAGATGGGGAACAGGGAGGGTGACCGCCGGAGCGGGGGCGAGGCAGATAGGCTAAGAGGGGGTGGAGGGGTCCATTAGTGGAGGTTGTTGGGGGCAAGAAAATCACTTCTGGTGGTAGGAAGGCGATGGGGGTAGATGGGATTGGGGGGGCAAGGAGGGTGGGTCCTGGAATAGGGGGGGGCAGGGAGGTGGGAGCCATGGCTGGATCCCAGGCAGGGAGTGGCAGGGTGGGGGGGGGGG